AAATATTATCAAACGACCCATTTTTGTAGTTCTCATTGAAGGTGTCCCTAAGGTCTGCTAAGCAGTTATTTGAAGAAAAGCAACAGGCTGGTTTTGGAACGGTGTGGCCGAGTGAGAGCGAAGACAGAAGAAGCTTCGAAATGTGGGGCCGCCGAAGAAAAAGAAGCGCTAGAAATAAGCAAAATTCACACTATAGAAGGTTATGTAATGGCTTTAACTGACGCTATAGTAAACAAAGGGTAAGGAACAAATTGGTGCAATTATGGCGCAATGTGGCTCGGGGGGGGGGCACTCTGAGAAAAGTCATCTAGGACTAAGCCTAAACAGCAGGGACGAACTCCGGAGAATACGAAAATTGCTTCCGTACACCGGAGTTCCTCTCCTCTTCAAAAGCTTAGTCCTAAAACGGAGCGTTTCCGTGATTTTGACGCGATGTTGCGAGGTGCCCCCCCCCCCCCGGCCACATTGCGCGTTATTACGTTGCGAATTGCAACACTCCGAATCTCTGTTTAGAAGAGGGGAACCTCACATAGTGGGTTGGGATTGACCTCACTTTTGCACACAAGGGACCAACTGAGCATTACTTTTCCAGTAAGGGGAAGCAGTTAAGAGCGCTCAACGCGCTCATAATCACCAAATGCATATTGTTATCTAATTGTTGAGATTTAGGACTAAGCAAAAAAAAAAGAGGGGCCACCAGGACCATGCCGCAACGTTGGTTCCACGGTGACTTTCCTCCACTTTCCTAGGTAGTCTGTAGCCGTCACTATTGTGGATATTACTTTCAAGACGTTTTACATGCATTGTAACCAAATACACACATGCATCACATATACAACAAAGGAATAAAGATGATGGCAGGTCGTACTTTAAAGGACACCTCGAACAAATTGGCATTAGAGCAGACTGTACATCTTCAATTGCCCCTTCTACTCTTTAGAAAGTCTACGCGATTGCCAGGAACGGGCGATGTAACTTTGGAAGGTGCTAACTTAGTTGGGGGGGGGCACGCGGCGGCGCGGCAGTCTGCTCGCCTGGCATGTTCGGAAATCCGTGGGCCAGGGGGAGTGTAGGCAGTCTAGGGGGTGGGGGTGGGGGCAGTCACTTGACATGCGTGAAAAGCTGGAATGTTCGAGTTTACACTGTCTCGCTCGAGAGAGCCCAGGTGAGCAGACTGCCGCGCCGCCGCGTGGCCCCCCCCAACTAAGTTAGCACCTTGGATAACGTTACGATTTTTATTCCAAGACTCGGCGATTGTGCGAGCGATGACTATTCGCGATTTGGCAAATCCAGGCTTGATGGACCTAATCTTGCGTCGACTTGAAAAAGTAGAGGGTCTCAGGACATCTGTCAACCGTGAGCCTTGGCGGTTCAGCGTTTTGTAGTGATGTCTGGGAGCTCTCACAAGTGCACACTATCACAGCATCTCCTCTTTCTTTATCTTCTTCAAAAGGCTTAGTCCCAATAAGACAAAGTGTGTGCTTTTCCAGCTACGCTCTCACCCTTTGGTTGACAGAAGCCTTGTAACCGAAAATACAGTCTCGGGGTCGCCGCCACATGTGCTACAAAGTCCGCAATTTCGACGACTCTTTATTGGTACGCCTGGCTTCAACTTCACTTCCTGTCGCCGATTAATGCTTTCTTTTAGTGCAGATACTATGGTTGGTCCAGTAACAACTGGGAAATGTGACCAGATGATATGAACAACAATTCATTTCAAAAAAACATGAGTAGTGAGGCTCCATAGGAGCAAAATAATTGAGTACTTCCCAATGACCGAAATACAGAAAAATAATGGAAAAATGACGAAACCAGTTATAATTATGACATCCTAAATTTAAAGCAACATCAGCCATTTAATCATTGAAGTCGATATCCTCGAACAATAACATTGTCATTTCGCGCATTCTCCGCTTTGCTTCTGCTTCAGGCATTTCGCGAAGAGTCGTGGAGACAAACGCTGCTGAAACGAATAAGACTCTCAAAAAAGGGACGAATAACAAAGCGAAATGGACTACAGCAGAACTTACCATATTTGTCGAACTTATCACCGGGCGCCTTTCCATTCTGAGCTTGAGCCTGAGTTGGGTCACCAGGAACGCTTTTTCCCCCTTTCAAAGCTTTAGCTGAAATGAAATATGTATATAAGATGTTTTGCCTCAAATCTCAAATATTGGCATTATTCCACTGTCAGAGAACCCCAGAAAATCCCACGACAATAATTTCGCCGTCCAAATTGCCGCTATAGGAAGAATTCCAGTTTTGCCTTGTAAAGTTATACGAATGATACTTTTTGGTATTGGCACCATTCTTACCTCTGGTGCGTATATAAGTTACTCATTCTGTGATCTCACCCTCTGACGTTGTGAATGGCTTAGCCCCCTCCCCCCCGGATTTCCTCCCCTTTCAGGCTTGGGCTTGTTTTATCAGGGGAGGGAGCAAGAAACAAGCTTCAAAGGCGGTAGCAACCATTGCATATAAAATGTTCGTACAAAAGCCATTCGCGCCCAGACTGACCGCACCAGCTGCGTACAGGAATTGGGCCAACGCCATAAAACAAACCCTGCATCAGGGCAACGAAACGAATAATCATCCCCATGAGCTGGGTTTCAACAGTTTTTTTAGCTTTTGGCCTTGTAAGAGTGGCACAGGACCGTGGTAGTGGCATGGAAGTTCTAATAGAATCTGAGCCGTCCTTGCAGTAAGGGGAGCTTTTTGATGCAGTGGCTCGTGCAGTTGCCGATTTTGGCGAGAGAGGAAAAAGGAGGAGTGTCACAAGTCTTCAAAAGGAAAGATCCACTGTGTGAGCACAACCCACCTCTTTCGCAACAACATGACGGAACGAAACCTAAGCCATTTCAAAAATATCTTGGCCTCATAGCCACCCCCAGCGGTTCTCTCCCATGGGTAAACGAACACAGCTATACTTATTTCACCAATCCTTAGCGCTATCGACACAACGAACCGAAAACTTCCGTCAGAAAGAATGTGCGCGCATGATAGCACACCATCATCTGCAAATTTTACAATTACCTGACAATCTGTTTCTCTGCACTAGAGACATAAGAAGAGCGCAGTTCCCCAAAGGCATGGAGACAGTTTCTATGGTGCTAAACGGTTGGGGGGGGCCACGCGGCGGCGCGGCAGTCTGCTCGCCTGGCATGTTCGGAAATCCGTGGGCCAGGGGGAGTGTAGGCAGTCTAGGGGGTGGGGGTGGGGGCAGTCACTTGACATGCGTGAAAAGCTGGAATGTTCGAGTTTACACTGTCTCGCTCGAGAGAGCCCAGGTGAGCAGACTGCCGCGCCGCCGCGTGGCCCCCCCCCCCCAACTAAGTTAGCACCCTTTTACCTTGAACTACAAAATTGTTAACTTCCCAGATTCCCACAATTCAGAGCGGCAAATGTGTTGTCCCCGGGGAGCTACCTCTATAAGGCACTAAGGTTAAGCCCACGGAGAGGGACGACCACTGGAAGAATAAGAATTGCTTACGCACCTAGCATTTCCCTACTCTAATCTGAAGCTTAGCCCTAAAACAACGTTTCCGTGAATCCGACGCAGTTTTACGCGCTGCTCTCCCCTCCCCCCACCCCACCGGCGCCAATTTGCGTCATCACAGATCCACTTTAATATCCGCACAATTTTATTATTAGAATCTATTTGTAAGGTAACAACGTAGTAGTAACCCACCGAGAGTGACTATCTTTTCTCGTTGCTTCGGCGCACAGGTGGCAGCTGAAAACAACATCGTAGTAAGCAAATTGAAGTGCTAAATCACGAAAATTTTCACTGGAACTCTTAAATAGGCTTCGTTGTGTTTTTGGTTGAATTTTCTGTTCTGGCAAGTGCAAAGGGTGACCATTTAATTGATTGACAATTGAGGAATTCTTTCGTCAATCGCTACCGACATGCAAAAGGGCTATGACACAGGCATAAGTAGTTTTTGCAGATTATTTTCATCAAAATCATCGACTTTCCTAGTTTGGCAACAATCCCATCATCCTGAATGGTTGCAAATCCAGCCATTCGAACAGATTATAGAAGTATTCACGTTCACCTACCAATTCCTGGTCTGCGCCACGTATCCCATTTCCGTTCAGAATCGCAGTGGCATTTCATGCGATTTGATTTGTAAACAGAGTAATGGAAGGCTTGACTGCCGTGGATGAGAAATGGGCAGGATCTGACCCCAATTCAAGTATGTAAAAGTAGCGCCACTTGCTACTACATCATGACTAAATTGCTTTTAGCCAAAATTACTCCCACTTTAGATGACGCCTCAATCGTGACAGCGTTCAATGTGAAATTGGAGATGGGTAGTGGACTGGGAAAGAAAAAAAGCAAAGAGACTCCCGACCACGCCCCAAATAAGGACCACCTCTATTTCAACCGCATTCCACCTTGGGATAGAGAAGGGCGTGTTGGACGAGTTTCACGAGCTTAGCTCCAGTTGCTCCAGTGCCAATGACATTGAACCGCAATGCAACCGCTGCCGCAACTGCGCCCGCGCTTTTCAAGCAGCGCCACGTGGCAACCGACAGCGGAGGGTGGGGCTTGCGGACGAAGGTGTGAGTTGCGGGTCGGACGAGCTTCTTGCGCCTTTGTCGCGCACTTTCAAGCCGCAAAAGGGGCGCGACATCAACGCTCGTTGTCCGTCGTATACTACGCTCGGGATGGAATAGGTGAGCGTGACTATTTGCGGACCGTGCCTTTAAACAACAGCAGCATGCCCGACTTGAAGAACTGCTTATTGTGTTCATCCCGTTATTATTACAATTTTCACCTCGGCTCAATTTCCGTTGCAGATACAAAGTGTTACTCGAGCTCAGTCATGGTTAACCATAAAAATTGCACCATACTTCATTTAGGTAAATCTCCTCACTGGTTTTCCTATTTACCCCGCACATGTCATATCATGAGCTAGCAAAAACCAGTACCTTCTCCTCGATAGAGGGGAGTTTGACGTTGGTAGAGACGGGGTGCGGTATCAGGTTCTTCATTGGACGGACGGTTTTCCTTCAAATTCTTCGCTGCAGGCTGAGGCTGATCTGAAAATAGTAGTGGTTACCATTACCTTTACCAGAGATATCTGATAACGTCTAGGAATGGTAAACGTCATGCAGTGATAAAGATCTTCCGCCTCACCTTCGTTCAAGGCTTCTGTTCGCTGCCGCTTTGGTGGTGGTGGTGGTGGAGCATTTAGGGAAGTGGACGAAGAGACAACCGAGATGCCCGGGGTGTCATCGTTCTTTTTCAACGAGGTCGCCGGTTGTACTGTAGCCGGTTGTACTGTAGCCGGTTGTACTGTAGCCGGTTGCACTGTAGCCGCCTTCTTCTCGGCCTCCTCTAAGACAGTGACCAAGGTTGGACCGCAAGCAGTACCGTCGTCACGCATTTCCGATTTTGGTTCCCTGATGGAAGCCGGTGAGGAGTCATCCATCAACGAGCTGCCTTCGAAAGCATAATCGTCGTCGAGATAGCTGAACTCATCATGCCTCTCGTCATACGGACTGGCATTTGGGGAATCCACGTCCTGTAGTGGGCGATGTGCACGTACCCTAAAATGATCTCGAATATAAAAGTGATTAACGATAGGATTGATCCTCCCTTTTGATAATCGGGAGAATGAGCAGCCCAAAAGAGGTAAGACTACTTACATGGGACAGACCGCTGGGAACTCACGACATAAGAAAAGCTAATTTCTTATGGATAACTCCGTTACTGATATCATTTACCTTTCTTTTGGGTACGCTATAAAAAGAATTTGGGTAGCTATCAGGGCCGTTGTTAAACAACCTCTAGAAGTATAAACTCAAACTTGATCGATCCTTTTGTGAGAGGAGCCACGAATCTCACTTATTTCAGGATCGTGGTGGCTTTTGAATGATATTCACTCCTTGCAGAAAAAAAATTGAGACTAGCCGATGTTCGAAACACTATATTGTGATCCCATAGTAACCCGGCACCAGAAAGAGATCTCGTGGGGGCGATTGACTTGGCTGGTGCGCATAAAATGGTGTCACATGCCTCTACACCAACCTACCAGGTGCCTATACACTAATACTAGGACCAACCATCCATTGTATAGAGCCCATCCAGTGGCTCCTATCCAACTTACTGAGGTTGGGAGAAGGTGTAAGGGCGAAGGCCAGCCGCGGACTGGCAAATTAAGAATTCAGGAAAGGCTTAGTCAAGAATAAGAGGTGGTTCGTTTCGTTTGAAGTTAGATTTGCTAGCCTTTACGAGCCGCAGCAAAGTGAATGGGCTTTCAAATGAATACGCGACTTTTAATCCCGTAGAAGTGCGTGGCACACATCAGGGCTGAGCTGTTGTAGCAAAACGCTTTAGATTCGATTCATTACGAGCGATATAATTTCAGAAAAACCATGTATCGGGGCTTCAAGACCCCCAAAGAAGGGGAGGGGGTCGTAAGGATTTTGAAATAGACATAATGAGACAATTGACCTTGAACCTCCTCTAGCCAAAAATATTGTAGAAACACTGCAGAAATGTTGTGCTGGCAGGTCCTCAACCCGGGCCGTGTTTAACCTTCGCCGGCTAGGGAAAGAAAAAACCCTCCGAAATTTCTTCGCCTATTCTAACAAGAATCGCCCTAAAAAGTTCAAATGTATGCTTGTGTGTAAAGATAAGCATGTACTGGGAGTAAGGAAACTTTGTCGTGAAAAAAAAAAACAAATCTAAAGGGAACTTTTCTTTCTCTAGCTTGTGGGCAGGATAGTATACGGCTCCCTCTATTCACTCGTAATTTGGTGAAATTTGAGGCAAATTCCGCAGAATTAGATTTGGCAGAAAATTCTGGGATACGCCACGCATTCGACCAAGACTCTTTCACGAATATCAGTACCCCGTAATCAGCCTGATCGACCATTTAGGTCTCAGGACATCTGTCAACCGTGAGCTTGGCGGTTCAGCGTTTTGTAGTGATGTCTGGGAGCTCTCACAAGTGCACACTATCACATCTCCTCTTTCTTTATCTTCTTCAAAAGGCTTAGTCCCAATAAGACACAAAGTGTGTGCTTTTCCAGCTACGCTCTCACCCTTTGGTTGACAGAAGCCTTGTAACCGACAATTTGAGCGAAAAGTTCTCAGCCATAGCTTGTTTAACGAGAACATTTAGACCTCGAACTCACCCTCCTTCATAGGTATCAGCGAGAAAGTTGATACGACGCTGAAAATACCATTCTCTTTCAGCCGGCAACTTCAAAGCAAGATTTCGTTTCCATTGATCTCGGAGGTTTTTCCACATCACTTTCAGCCTACCAACTGCAATAAATAAATTCACTTTTTGGCTTGGATGATTAT